GTACAACATCTCTTAGATATACATAAAAACAATGTTAATCATATAATAGTACAATTTCCGCCTCAGAGATTTGGATGAACCCCTGCGCCCAATCTGGCTCCGCCCCGGACTACATAGAGATATGGCTTACTAGTTACTATACTGAAAGAATGGACATAGCAAAAGTATAATGCACTGAACTGCCCTTTTTCAGTCATGGATATTTTAATTTCTGCAAAATATCTTGTTCTGCATTAATTTCATAGAACTTTGTATAACAGGCTCAGCTCAACATCTTTTAATGAGTAGAATTTAGCGGGTTGTAGCAGGTTGCTTGCTTTATTACTGAGGAAATTTGTTGTATCGTAGTCGTTATACAAAATATAGCTTGTCAGAACTTGTTTGCTTTATTTTTCTACTTATATATTATACGCCCGTTACTTGTAGTTATCTTTAGACAGTCTGATCATGCATAGAAATTAAACTAATCTAATGTACAATATACTGTTTTGTTTTCTCAAATTGGCTTGTAGGGAGTGTTGCTTCTCACCTTCACAGCAGTCATTGACACATTGAGACCTCCAAAATGCTTTGATGGTTCAAATGAGTGCAGAAATGCATCAACATTCCATCTTACAATCTTATATGCAGCTTTAGCTCTAGCATATTTGGGAAACGGAGGAACACGTTTCACCATTGGATCAATGGGAGCGAATCAATTTCATAAGCCAAATCATCAAGCGATTTTCTTCAATTGGTATACTTTTGCGCTCTACACATCTAATGTCATTGGTAGCACAGTCCTTTTGTATATTGAGGACAACGTTAGTTGGGTACTTGGGTTCGCCATCTGTGTCGCCTTCAACATACTTGGCTTGGCTATTTTCTTGTCTGGACGCTGTTTCTATCGCCATATTGAGGCACAACAAGAAAGCCCTTTCATGAGTTTGGCTCGAGTTGCCGTTGCTGCTATCAGGAAGCATAGAGAACCGTTGTCATTAGGAGGTGAAGATTATTATCATGGCATGACAAAACAGGACAGTGCAACAAGTGCTCATGACCTCACAAATCCTAGCAAATTCTTCAGGTATAACAACACTCTCCCTACACTAAATAATGGTTCAAAGTATATATAGTTTTTAGTAGCAGGGGAAATGGGGGAAGGCATTACAAGGCGGGGAATCGAACTAGGTGAAAGTTCAGATAGCCAACCAACTGAATTACTAGGATTCCCTCTTTGCATTTTCTTGAATTCCTTTATCAAAATTTTTAAATGCCCATCGCTAAATGGTCTGTAGCTAAGATTTTTTTTGTTAATACCTCATTAAATAGGATTAGAGACCGTCGATACACCTAATTCCTGTTGTTTTAGGTGATTTATAGTCCAAACGTCGAAAAATGAATGTGTTGTGTGTTTTAATAGGTTCCTGAACAGAGCAGCTTTGATCACAGAAGGAGATAAGAAACCGGAGAGAGTTGCTGCTGAGCCATGGAGACTATGTACAGTGCAACAAGTAGAAGATCTCAAAATCCTGATAAAGCTTTTTCCAATATGGACTACTGGTTTGCTTCTATGCACCCCACTAGTCATACAAACCAGTTTAGCAATCCTCCAGGCCCTGAAAATGGACCGGCATTTAGGATCGAATTTCAAAATCCCAGCTGGTTCTGTTATAGTCTTCACGATGATCTCCACGTGCATAACAATAACATTCATGGACCGAGTCCTATCCCCCTTGTTGACTAAACGCATCCGTACTTCTCTGACACCGCTCCAACGGGTTGGGATAGGACACGTGTTGACGGTCGTCAGCATGGTCCTATCCGCCCTGGTAGAGTCAAAGAGGATAAAATTGGACAAATCCCACCACCAAAATAGTGTTGTGGTGCCAATGTCAGTCTTCTGGCTGGCACCACAACTAGCTATTTCAGGTATCGGGCTAGCTTTTCATTCTCCAGGATACGTCGGATTTTATTACCAAGAATTTCCAGGGTCGTTGAAAAGCACGTCTACCGCGGTTGTGGCGGTTTTTATGGGAGTGGCATTTTATCTAGGGAATGGGGTGATGGATTTGGTTCAAAAAGTGACAGGATGGTTGCCTGAGAATATAAATAATGGTAGGTTGGATAATGTTTTCTGGGTGATTAGTGTTTTAGGAGCTTTAAACTTTGTGTATTATGTTGTATGTGCTTCATTGTACGAGTATAAAAATGTTGACAAGGAAGTGAATGATTCTATCGACAAATAGTCCAAATGAAATAGTCCTGGATTCATTATGTAAACATTGAACAAGCAATGAATCTCAATTCATGAAAAGATAAAATTGCTGACATTGGTTTTTTTGGCTTTTTATTTGTTGACTTTTAGCAAGAGACAAACATGTTTATTTTCCCATTAGTTAATGTACAGGCCAATGCATTTAGGGTAACAGTCCATTCTGTTCCCCCCAAAAAGAGACAAATCATCCTTTTTGTTCCCCGGTATATTTGGGAGGTGAATTTTTGAGCAAACGTTTTTGGAGATTAACTGTTTATATTATCACATCCCACTGTCTGTTTGTTTTTTGTGCAAAGCTACGAGTAGAGATAGCAAATTGGCAAGTAGACAGGCAAAAACAATAAGTAGGGATATACATAGTTAATTGAAACCACACTTTATTATTTTGTTAGAAAGGATATTTTAAACCGTAAAGAGAAATCGTGTTTTAATAAATGGAAGGAGAGACATTTTTAACTCAAAAATTGATATTAAGGGCAATTGCGGATCAATAGGTGGATGAGGGAAATTTTACCAATTTCGACACATTAGTCTAATTTTTTACCTTTTTTCGATGAACTTATGATTAGGGATTGAGTCTGAATTTAAAGCTTATGTATTCAGAATATTTGTCCTTAATACATTATTGTGTTCTAATTTAATAATTTGTACATATTCAATGAATTTCTCAAGACAAATATCAAATGTGAATTAAAATTATTAAATTCAACTAAATTCGTAATGGGTTCATACATAAATACAATAATATACAACTCCCGTCTCCCAATCTGTTTCTGATTTTTGAGATCAAAATCATCCCACGGTAGAATTATTGAAACATAACTGTATTTCTCATTAGCAAAAGAAAATAAAACATAAGGTATTTTATTCTTGACACATTTTTAAGCCGGTGCATATGAATGTCAATTTGACAAGTTTTTAGGGGTAAATTGTAAAATCCTGTCAAGAAAAAGAAGAGTTGAATTTCCCTCCTTTTTTGAATTAACTGTCAACACAAAGCTCTTGGTCAATTTGGATTCAAGAATCAAGAACTCACTTTTCTATACTAACACTCTCTTCTCAATCCCATTAATTTCAATTTTTATCTTACTTTGTTGAATTCTCATTTTCCATTAGCTCTGTTCTTGTTACATTCCCAATCAGTTAAGTCTTTTTTCCATTGATAATTCCTCTTCCACTTTGTTCTTAGTTGAAGAAACAGGTTGATTCACAAATTTGATACAATGCAAGAAGATTCTGTATATGATCCACTAGTTTTCGGTCATCGTGATTACATCTATTGCAGTAATTGTGAAGCTCGAATTGCACGTGTCCAGTATTACATTCCTAATGTAAAGATTCTCTCTGCATCATTTTGTACTGTTGCCTTTTCTTGACTTATGAACAGAACAACTTATTATGTTCATTTTCTTGTCCAGGTGCAGGACTTAGATTATAGAGGCTACTTTAAGAGAGTGTAAGTCTCATGATTTCGATAATTCGGAAATATTGTGATTTGATTAAGCTTTTGTCTGAGTTGTGTGTATTATATTCAGGTTTAATGTTGTTATACTAGACCAACCGAAATTTCATCAACAAGAAGATGGAAATACCCTAACCTCACTCAATATTTACTGTACCCAATGTAATATGCTGCTCGGGTGGAGACTTGTAAGATACTAATATTAAAGATCATTTCGTTTTCATGATAACATTGCTCTTTTGTTATCTCTCTTAAATACAGAGTTCATGATTTTATTTCAGAGGGAAGCCACCCTACCGTCCAAGTATTTCATAAGAGGAAGATTCTTTATGAGATTGTAAGTTTCTAATTATGAATTTGCAAATTGAGATTGTCTGTATATATATTTTGTGGAAGGTGTTAATTCAAGTGTGGCAGGGACATGCTCATGTACAAGAGTCGTGTAACGTTGCATGATTCTCTCTTTGGAGGTGCAAATCGACAGGATCATGTTCAAGATGTAGGCGCTAATGCTGATCAAGATGCAGGTGCTAATGCTGATCAAGATAGAGATGCAAAGAAGAGAATCATGATCAAGATGAAACCGCTAATGAACAAGGTCCTAATGAATAATGATCAAGATGGATCGCGGCCAATGAAACAAATGAAGATGTAGATCAACAGGCTGACAGAAATGCTGACATTGATAGCCTACTCATGCTGATCAAAATGCAGAAAGATACACATTGTACTTTACAAAATGCTAATTCATATTTGTGTGATATTCTTTTTTCCCTTTCTGATTTTGGAATTACAGTACATATTATTATTTCAGGTTGGAACAAAGCAATTGACACTGAACTTTTTACATGTTTGAGCTCTATATGCTGCTTTGTTTTTCTTTTAATTTCTGGAAGCACGTCAACTGTCAGAGATGTATTTCCTTAACTGCAAATGCTATACAGTCTCATATATTTTCTCTAAGCTAAAGTTGCTTGACAGTAAATGCTAGTGAAGTTTGGTTTGTTTTTCTATAAAAATGTGAAATGACTAGTGTACTCTTCCAGTATGTGGTGAAGTTAGATTTTTACAGATATGTATGATAAATTGATAAATTGATAATTATGTATGTATAGATTTGATTTTTACTGTGATCTAGTTCAGAGAACGACAACTTGGTTGCCAGACAATATCAATGATGGAAGGAATGGATACCGTCTTCTGGCTCTGTTGTTTCTTGGGATCAGCAAAATTCATGTGTTACCTTGCGTTTACCTCCTTCCACAAGTATAAGAATATAGATGAAAATCAACCGATGCACCCAGTGAATGGCAAATTCTACTTACTAGTACAATTCAAGAAGCATGGATACCATAAGTTCCGCAAGAGATTTCCAGGCTTTGCTTACTGTTTGGAATAAAGATACAAGTTTCCATGAATGAGATACTGCTCTTTACATGAAAGAAACAAAAAGGAATCCTTTAAAGTGGATGTAAAAGAATTACATATAAAAAGGATAAATCGTGTGTCTATGGAGAAATGTATCAGTTAGCAGCTTTTCTAGCAAAGCAGTGTCAATCTAGTCTACACCAGGAACATGTTAGGTGGTGAATAAAAGAATTTGAAAGAGACCAAGTTTAGTCAATACGAATCAGGACTCGCGAGGCCCATTGTGGTGGAACTTTGTACAGTCATAAGGTCCAAGTTGATTGTTTTTCTTCTTCACCTGTAAGTCAAAGAAAAATAACAGTTTAATAAAACTAATATGAAATCGGCAGAACCAGTCAATATAAATATATGCAACAGCACGCTATTTTCCACTTCATTATTCATCACTTTTTTATCAAGATTTCTAGCTAAAGAGACAAGTGAGGTAAAATCCCCTCTAAGCAAGTACCAAAATGTATCTATGTGGAACAAAATGGTACACTAAGCTCCAGTTAAGCGTGAGGTTCTCGGAACATAGAATATCTTGTAAGTCGTATAACCAAAAGTGAATCAATTCTCACTTAATTGGTAGCATATGCCATAGAACCTGTTTAACTATAAGTAAGAATAAAGTTGAATGCACTCTCATTCTAGCTTGTGACATACATTTAGATACTGCATAGGCTACCTCAAACAAGAAAAGAAGCATGTATAGATAGTGACATACCGGAGACCATGGGCTTGGCTCAGGCAAGGATTTCTCTTGGGGTGAGTTTTGTACAGCACCACCTTTCATCGTTAATATTTCCTGTAGAATCAGAACACAAGAGTCAGTTACTCGGTTACTTTTCTGCTAAATCATGCTCCAACAACAGATTTAGAGCAGTCGAGCTTAACACTCAATCCAAATTTGTGTCACTGCCTAACCTAAGGTTCAGAACACAACATTTAAGGATGTCAAGCTTGCCGATTGTTCTGGACCTATAACTGGATGATAGCTTCTATCATTTTACTAAAGGAAATATGATGAACAGCTAATGTCTCATCAGTTTTTCCTTTAATACCACCTGCTATAAGTGAAGGATTTGGATAAAGGTGTGGAAGCAAACTGCTCTTGAGGAAACTGAAGATGAGTGGAATTAATAAAATATGCTTCAAAGTTAATTATGTTTGGCTTCAATAAATCACAGAATACAGCTCATTTTCCAAAAAAATAAAATTACCTCCCCTGCAGCTTCCATTGCTGCCAACCATTCATCAGAAAAAGGAACTGCATCCCGTGGTGGTAATATCAAAAGATTGCCTTTCTTCAGACAGCTCTCAGCATTTTTGCTGCCATCAACAAAAGGCATTTTAGCAATTCTACAAAAGAATTGAAATTTGTGAAAGGCTATGTCCACAAAAAATGAAGGAGTTCTTTGGAATGAGAAAAGTTTATGCAATACTTACACTGGAAAAATGGTGTCGTCATTTGTGCATTGCTCGGTATCTTCCAGCCCGTGGCAAATTTCATTTTGAGAACTCTCACTTCCACTAAGTTTACCAGTTTCAGATTCCTTCACCAGAATATCTTCATTCAACATTTCATCTACCTTCATTCTGATTCTTGATGAGGTCTGATCCCCTGCAACAAGTTCTATGCAATCAGTTGGCACACTTGCTGTATGGTTTTTACTTGTCCCCTCAGATAAATCAGATTCCAAAGATAAAGATTCAATTGCCGCCGGATATGATAGTCTACCCGCAACACAGTGGATAGCATCCAGATCATCAGCATCATTATCACTCCCATGAATCAGAGGTGACTCCTGGTTCAGAAAACTTGGGGTTTCTAATCCACCTGCATCAACACTTTTTCGTGATGGAAAAGCTTCTCGAAAATTCTCAAAGGAATTGCTGCTTTCACATTCTTCCACCACAGTGATAGGGGCTTTTTTAGGCAACAACTGAGCATCATTGTTATATGTCTCCACGTGTGCATCTTCTATCTGTATAATATTTGTGAGGGCATTTGTTGTCTTTCCAACTTCATTTGCTTGTCTTGCATCTCTGAGTTTTGGAGGAGTATGAAGACTCTCTAATACAACTGTATGACACCCCAGTTCTGTTGGACTGGAAGGGATGAAGTCTGCATGGCTGCACATGTGTGACTCTTCAACTTTCAAGCTTTCCGGAGACAGCATACCAAGCTTCAATGTGATGGTCTGATTACCATCATTAGGCTTGTTTGATGAATCTTGAATTTCAAATTCATCCATTCCTTTGGAGAGGAGCACACTGTTGATCAATTGGTTACCTTCACCCACTGGACCAAGTATACCAGATCCAATTACATTTTGTGTTCCCCCAGAAGATGAACCAAATTCCATAGAGGAAGTTAAATTGCCCTCATTGTGACAGTTCAATGAATTGTGTATTTCAGTTTCATTCACCACTTCCAATACAGACTCTATAATTGGTTTCCTACATTCGCCAATCGAACCAGGTACATCTGATACCATTTTATCTCTTGTTCTACTAGACGATGAACCAAATTCCCGACAGGTAGTTGAATTTGCAAGAATCTTATCATGATTGAATTCTTTATCTGTTGAATGATTGCAATTTCCTGGAAGAGTAATTTTGACAGGGCTAGAACACATGATATCCGCAGGATCTTCTCCAACCACTGTCTGTGCACTTGTTACATCAAACCTATCAAAACCACTTTCATCTGATCGATATGGAAGAGCGGATAAACCAGTTTCATCAATCTGTCCATCTTGGTTTTGATCTATGCAAACATGTTTACTAAGGGACTGACCACTTGAATGCAATACGCTACCAGCCTGGGACTTATGTTCTGAGTTAATTGAAAGCCCACCAGGATTAGTCTCGCAATTTTCACCAGATAAAGTTTCACTTGAGATATCTGCTACTAAACCTCCTGTTTGTGCTCTATCTGTGATCTGCTTGCTGGTAAAAGCTTCTTTCAGATTATGAGAATGCTGATATGCAACTTCTGACAGTTCCATCTTTACTTCACTAAAGTTTGAACCTGCGAGATTCAAGGGTTCACAGTTCCCACATCCAATATTCCTTAGTTCTCTCTGGACTTTGCTCAAATTACTCTTAATCTTCATAATGTACTTATCATTATCAAAGATCCCGTCATCTTCAACTGCAAAGGACTTGACCTTTTCAAATTCTCCACCAGTTAAATTATTGCAGCCGCCCATGAAACCTTCCTTCATCACCTCCCCGCTTAAATTAATCATATTCCCATACTGCGAGTTACAAATCAAACCATCAATTACTGAAGAAATGGCAGATTCTTCTCTTTCATTTGGATTGCCATCTTCCAGTCTATGTAGAACTAGAGATTCTGAATTGTAGCTAGCTTGTGGAAACTGAGAATCTCTAAAACCTGATCCAGCAGAGCCTTTATTTTCTATAAAACCAGGGATGAAGTTCATGAGATTACCATCTTTGTTTATATATTCAAGTTTTCCCATTTGTGGTGGATGTTGCTTGCCGTTCATCAGCAATTCTGTATCCTGAGGCTTCTTTTCTTCGTGCTTGATGTGATCCAATACTTGCTCATCAAAATTACCAACATGATCTCTGAAATTATCACTGACTATATCAAGCTTCTTAATAACACTACTTGGAATATTCACTCTTTCTACACTGTTTCCTTCCAAGCCTGTTTTAATTACTTTGTAGGATGATGTTGAGCTTTCCGATTCAGATCCTAGTACCTTACAGTTTAAATTTGCTAAGTCGTCCTTGCCTTCTTGCCTTGCTAGTGTCTCTGGTGGCCTCAGATCACCAGACCTTTGCAATGGGCACATACTAGACTCGACTTTCAACAAGCGATGTGTATCTGAAGCTTTTGTCTGCAATCACCATATTGGTTGTCATGTCTTTAAAATGAAATGCTACAGCATGAGCATCAAGCATCCTATTCACCTAAAACAAAAGAACCTAATGCTTTGCCAGAATAGTGCTGGGTTGCTGGTAATACCTGACGAAAAAATCCCAAGGAAGGTGAGGGCCTCCGCAGACCTGATGGTTTCATGGCTTGTGCGGGCAGGTATGGCATACTGCTAACAGCAGTACGAGTACTGTGAGGAAGAGGGAGTACAGATGGTAAACATACATCATGACTTTCAGATGAATGTGCTCGGGTAGATGGAAGTGTGGCATCTGAATTCATCTCCACGCCAATATTGCTAGAATTATTAACTGGAGAAGATTCAATTGATGTCTGTAATTTTGATGGTGATTTCTCCTGCACAAATTAGAATTCAGCAAAAAGGAGGGGATTTGATATTGTTGGTTAACTACCATATGTACTGAATGTAAGCTAAATTCTTTAGTGTTGTGTTCTTGAAATTTGAACAATTCTTAATCACACCGAATTTTTCTAAAATATTGAGCTCAAAACTTGAACTAACCCTTATGTCATTTCTCCTTAAAATTAAAATACATGATAAAAATTTATCTTTGGAATTTGAAAGTACTTTTAAGTTCTTAACCACACAGTTTTTTTTCTAAAATATTGATCTTAAACTTGAACTGAAGCTTACATCATTTCCTCTCAAAATGCATGATGAAGATTTATCCTTTAAAGGTGCAGCATCAGCTTTTGCTTTCTCTTTGCTATTTCTCAACTTTCTAGAGGAGCTCATTAATCCCAGATTTTTCTGAATACCAAAAGCTGCACGAGAAAGGAAATTAGAATATAAATGACGTACTCTTTTAATCTGTGACCCAAATAAGGAAGTTACTTTCGCAAAATATAATATTACAGCACATTTTGAATACATTCCATGATAGAAATGGAAACAATCACGCTCAGCAGAAGCCAGATGAATAGCTAATGAAGAGATTACCAGAATCAGTTACTTGATGCTTAAAATGACTTGCTCTTGGTATGCTACTCTTAGAGTTTGTAGGCAACGAACAAGAATTTGGCTTTGAAACTTGACATTTTGGTAACTTGGAATCCTTGGTCGCAGATTTTCCATGATTCATGTTTGCAGGCCTTTTCAGTCTAAAATAATATTAAGGCTCTTCATCTGTACAAACTCCAAATATAGCAAAATAAAAAACTAACAACTTGGAAATAGTTGAATTTCAAATATATCTAACATGTGCAAGGATATGAAGCTGAAGACAAAGGTTGTGAACAGCTACTAGATTTGGAGATAGTTCTACCATTGTGAGACACTGGTATTTTAGTTGAGGCCTGAAACCACGCAAAAGACCAAGTAAACAACAAATTAAAATAAGATGAGCATCATCAGAAGTCATGGCCATATTTTATGAGCTGAATCACTGCTAGTCTTAAGCTGAGATCTGACCTTCCGATTTTCTTCTTTTAAAGCTACAGCTCGAATTCCTTTGAACGTACTTTTTTTGTTCGAGCTCAAATAAACTGAACTAGCATCATGTAGAGAGTCATTTGAAGTTGGATTTCGCTCTTCTTCATTGATGGTGAACAAGGCCTCTCCGCATGTTTTAACCAATGAACCACTAAGCAGAGAAAGTTCTAATGGATCCAAAACACCTAACAGAAAGAATGTAGGTTTTTCCTGATATCAATCTCCTGAAGTATCTAACAATTTTTTCTGCATTGATACTAGAGATACTGTACTGTTAAAAATTACCTTCTTCAGTTGAAAAGGCTCTATCCCATGCTAAACTTTTCCGCAAATTGCAACCACCGCTCCTCTTCTTCCTCTTCATGTGCAGTGGCTCCACACTCAGTTTAGGCATTTCTGCTTTGTCTGAATTGATATTTTCTTTATTGCTGGAAACTCTACGAGATGAACATCCGGATTTTACATGATCTACCCGAACCTCCAGCCCTCCTGCAACATGATGAAATCTGTAAATAACTACGCCCTCTACTTCAAGGCACCAACTGTTTCAATTTCAAACAGAAAACTAAACAGCTTCAAGCTGGAACATAGGCAAATGAGAACCATCAAGAAGAACATAATGCATAACATCTCCAACAGAAAAGCAGAAGTTTTGAATAAAAATGTATGATACAACCAACAAAATAGAAGAGCCACAGAATACCAAATGTAAAGAAGAAACGATCAAATTTCTACTGACGGACTTGATAATACAAATCAATCAATCAAATTCACCTCAAAGCCTATAGTTAGGGTCTTATGCATCAATTACACCTCTACTTAGTCTCGTTTCATAGTATTCACCAAAGTATGACTACAGACACTAGTTGCCAACGCATAGCTAATCTCCTCCTTTATCAGGAACCTAATATACTTGATTGAAGTAACACAGTGAATTGAATAACTGCTGAAAGTAGGCAAAAACTGCATAACCTAATTAACCCTACAAACTCATTACGACTCATTTCCATATAAAACAAAAATCTAGATTTATCTAAACGAGATGAAACCTCCAAAACTTCTCGAAAAAAAAAACATTTTACAGCATCTGAGCACTTCCTTGACTGCTTACCGCTACAAATCCCTCAAGGTAATGAATGCGGGAATTAACGAATTGAAACAAAATAAAAAAAAACGGAGCAAGCCATAGAAATTGGAAAATGGCAATGTGAAACTTGAAAGAAACAAAAATAGAAGAGAAGAAAAGTAGAAGAACTGACTCATTGGGGAAATGAAATTTGAAATTGAAGCGAAATCGTTGGGATTGGTGTCCATATCAGGGAGTGGCGTGAGTAGAGAATCTTCTTCGCCGGAGATTTCAAGGAGGCGTAGATCTGATTCCATTTTTCTCTGATACTTGAAATTGTTGAAGAAATCATCAAAGAAGTAGGAGTAGTTTGTTTGGTTAAGCGGAAATGAGGATTTATTTGTTGGTTTTGAAATGGGGGCAAGCGGGAAAGGGCCGGTCCCTAACGTAGGACAAATCACACGTGCCTTGTTCACTCCAATGCCAAATTTATTTGCCCCTTCCTTTCTTTGATTCAAAAATTGACTACAAAGTCCTGACTTCCTACGATACTAGAATCAAGTTTTAAATTTTTTTAAAAAAAAATGAGCAGCAGGAGGTAGTGTTTACACTTTTTTATCACCTAGTAAGTATCACTTAATCATGATAAAGTATTAAGATCTACCCGAAGGTCATAAGAAATTGTATTGGAAGTCTTTGTTACCACTATTATTATTTGGATGGCAAATATTTCCTACTAGTATTCTTCTTATATGATTTTGGAGTATGTAAACTTCATTTTAAAAGATTTAACTATTGATATTCAAATTAAAATAGATATGACTTTTCAACAAGATTATAGCTTGAATTATTCGAGATTTGGAAATGCTTTCCTTAGTTAACTATTGGACCATTTGAAGATTCAATGTAGAATGACAGTTTTACGCAATGAATGTCATTGCATCCGAAGATGACAATTCATATGTTGGAAAATCTTAAATTGTAGTGAAACAATAACTCTCTACGGAGAGAGTTTTTCCTCCTTTTTCTTTTCCTACAAAAGCCATTCGCCATATGTTTGTGCAAACTTCTATATAGTGATTTCAGGGATGTTCGTGCTGGTACGCACGGTGTGCTCATCTAGTTTGTTTATCTGTTTCACACATTTGATATACACTCGGAAACATTCTTCTTTCTGAAGCATAACACCGTAAGTGAGACTGGATTTATTGTTACAAAACGGGAAGGAAAACTTCCCCCATCAAAATGAATGAATACAACTCGCAGGTATAATTTTAGAATAAGCAAGTTTTTCCTCCACAAAAAGATGTGAAACTCAGAAGATGCAGGTGGTATAAGAGATTCCCTCTTCACAAATTATACTGACTGTTTGAGAGAATGGGATGAGGATATAAGAAATGAGAAAAATTTACACATCTCTTCCTCAACAGCTAACTACGACCCTCGGGGTCCTTTTCATACTGCTATACCAAAAGATTATGTGCTGCAACTTTACAATTCTATCCTACATAATCCAGCTGCTTTCATCCAAATAAAGTGTGTCAAATGTACCAGTCAGTCAAAATTGGGTCCTTCCGAAATTCTTGTCAGACTTCTTCTCTAGATTGGGAACTCTTCTTCTCCACGGAATTCCCCAAAGGAAGAAAAGAGAGAAAGAAACGCTATGTACTAATCTTCATCATCTGCTAATAAGGCAAAGGAGAACGGCATGAACTTATAACCATCCCCATGATAAAACTTGTTTTGGAATTCAACCCAGTGAAGACGCAATGCATGAAGGAATGCACTAAGAGTCTCCATCATGAGTAGTATAAAAGCTGTCGCAAAGGCAAAAACTGCCAGCCCCACTAGTCGTATGATGATGTTTTCATACCTGAACTTAGAATGATAATAGACAGATAAATTCAACACCGCGAATACCAAGAGTAAATTATGAAGAAAATTAACCATTCTACATCAAATCATAGCTCCTATTTAGGTTTTTCCTTTGAAAGGAAAGCCATAGCTATAAACTGGAGAAACTTGAACAGCCAGTGAGAAGAAAATGAAATAGCTAAATGTCAAATGAAAACTTACCCCCAAGCTAGGAGGAGAACTTTCTCATAGAACACAGTAGATAATTCAGAGTGAGCCAAACTGCATCAACATAAACGTGTGGTATATACAGCGAATTTTCAAGAAATATACAAAATTCAAGTTGATGACAAAAAATAAGTAATTGATGGATTTACCTCAAAGCCCAAAGCCGAAGGTACGATGCAGTGTTAGAAACAGCACCAAGTACAAATTCAATAGAGTGTATCATTTGGTGCACAAAAACCTCACTAAAGTTGAACTCCTCGGCACGCTCTCTGGCAGAATCTGGTTGATCATCACTACCCATCTCAGAGGTTCCAAGCATTCCATATGTCCGACCTTGAAATCTCTGAGAATCATCAAAGGTGCAAGAGAAATAAAGCCTTCAAGATACTAAGTAGTAGCGATAGGCAGTACATGAAATTGTGCGAAATTAAATACAAAAGTAAATAAGGCTCTCCGTCCTACCCTCAGATCCTGTCAATATATAAAACCATATTTGCTAATTCAGTAACATCAATGGACACCTAAACAACATCTATACAGGAACAGATGCAACCATTTGGTGTACAGAATAAAATTCCTGTTCATTTTAGGTGGGATCTCGACCGAATAAGAACTTTGTTGCATTCTCATATTTGGTTAAAACAGAGAAAATAAAAGGAAAAATGGAAAGTCTGACTGGAACGGATCTGCTAGAGTGAGAACAGGGAAGGAGGCTGCTAAAAGGTACACTAGAAAGGGCTTTTCTGAAAAACAAGCAAAGGTATCCCACCTTTTCTCACAATTTCCGAACAAAGGAAGAGAAAAAAAACAATTGGAATATGGATTACAATCTCAGACAGTCACCTAGTGGCACAAGTAGCTCTAATAGTGTAATCACCCTACCTACACAGCATATGCCATGCTGAAATTTCCCATGAAGCAGAATAATCTTAGGATATGAGAAGCTCATGGACAAAAATCTCCATTTTCGAAAGCCTAATGTCTCTTGGCAGATATTACTTAACAACTGAAAGCATTAATGCCTTCACTAGTATATCAAACTTATATTTTTGGTTATTCCCTTCTTACCACTATTTTTAGATAAAAACCATACACTCAAAACTTGTCAGGCTAATTAATTTAACCAGACAATCATGGAAGGGTACATTTAGAAGTTCATTCTGGCAACATATCAAGAGTGAAGTCATACTTAAAAAGGAAAGTATATCTTCAATAAAGTAAGGTACTCAATAGGAGCCTACTTGACTATTACTAGATTTTATGGCATGCCAACAGGACCCCTCTCTCTCCAAGAAAAAAAAAATCAAAATAGAAATTAGAATTTCCTTTTTAAAGGTTTCTCCATTCTATGCCACTAAAATGTCTCTCAAAGAAAACAAAAGTTATTTCTGGAAAGGGTTCCAAGGTTCACTACTTTCATCTTTTCTCTGAATCAGAAAAGTCAACACAGTACCTCCATGTGAAGTCTCTTCAAAATAAAAGGTTTTGGGAAGAGCATCCATGGAACTGCAATTAGTGCCAAAAGCAGCAATATTACCTGCAACAGTAATTGTTAACAGAGGGGTACAAGGACGCAGACATATTCTTAGGGGTTGTTTGGTATCGAATTGTGTGACGGACAAGGGAGAAAAAAGAACTTCATTAATGGTTTTGTTTTTCATATTTCTTTGTTTGTTACTTGTTCTTTCTATTAGTTGCATATGGCACCTTTAATGCATACATACATATATATTTAACTACTCATTACAAGTTATTTATAAAAATTATGCAAGAGGCATTTTTATTAAAAGAATTTAAACCCCACTCCAAAAATCCCAAATATGGGATGCATGTATTAGAAACCCATTAATAATTCACTAATTGACAATATTCTCACAATAATTTTGTGCTAGTACAATTCTACCATACCCCATTTAAGAACCAAACAACCTCTAAGAGCACATGTTCCGGAAATAGAAGGGTACCTCATACCTGAAGCACACTCTGGCCCCAAAACAACCTATTTTCACCAAGAGCCTCAAAAGGACTTAAGAACATATAAATCATAACATGATATAGATCTGCTTGAGAACCAGTACACCATTTGACAACAACGAGAAGAGAAAGGTATCCAAAGAGGCTGTTGAGAAAGATTATTTGTGGTATAAACTGATACCTGACAACAACCAATCACAGAATAAATGACAACATACAGGCAAACCATGAAAAAAGAGAGAAGAGAAAATGATTACACACTTAATATCAAGTGAGCTGCTGAAGAAACGTGCATTGAAATAACTTAAAATGATTCCAAGATTCATCTGGGCCACACCCAACAAAATAGACATCTTCATCTTCAGAGAATTCAAAAAAGGAAGCTCTGAACGGCTGCCTCTCCAGCTTGGATCCACGCCAAATGGATACGGATCCTTGTATTTTATTAAACCAACTGTCTGTGCATCACTGTAATGTACACACAGTAATGTCAAGATACAATATCGTATCAATCGTATTATGTAAGAGTATACAACACATGATACATATGTATGCACTTGATACAATTGTATTCGTTGATACACTTGATACAAAGTGAATACGTTATTTCCTCATAATCAGAAATTGTAGTCAATTTCTATTTAGAAAATGTAGCATGGTAATTATTGTATACCTGCATGTAGCATCTCGGCATTTGTACGCCGAATCACCAAATATGTGAAAGGGAACTGAGAAGAATTCATTATATATCAAGCCACAGTAAATTGAAAATATTGACATCAACAGGAGTACATAGCGACCACCAAAGAGCATCTCCATGAAGCTGCCTAGTTTCTGCCAGGAAAAGTTATTTGATTCACAAAAGGAGCATATAATTATATGATTGCTCTAATTCAGCCCTCCAAAGAAGAATCTTAAATCAATAGGAGTATTAACCTGAGAACTAAGTTTGCTTTCCCTTGCGATAAGAACTAATGCTCCCAAGAGCAAGCAGATTCCATGACCCCAGTCCCCAAACATCACAGCGAAAAGGAAAGGAAATGTAACAATGGTATAAACAGCTGGATTTGCTTCCTGGTATTTGGCAACACTGTCAAGAAAAACAGCACTATAAGTGTTTTCTGTTTGGACCAGCCTAAGTGCACAACATATGGATATTCATATTCATATATTCTTTTGAGAAACAAATGAAATTGAAATTTATCTGAAGAGCTGAAGCATTATGTACAACTACAACCAAAAATCATGGCATGCATTATGTTGAAAAGTAGAATCTTTTCTATTAAAATTTTATTTTGCCAAGCTTCAGGCATATGAAAAACATTCTTGAAACAAGTAAAGGTTTTACTGCAAAAATGAGTGAAGCGTAAGATAAAACA